TGCCCTGGCCTAGAATGGAGAGACCTCATCAAGCAAACCAAGAAAAATACACAAAAAGAAAGAGGGAAATGTTTTTGCAACCAAAAAAAACGGTGAAAAAATGAAGTTCTTTGGGGCTGCCTGGGTGGCTCAGTGGGTTAAAGCCTCTGCCTTCGGCTCAGGTCATGGTCTCAGGGTTCTGGGATCGAGTCCCGCATCGGGCTCTCTGCTAGGCAGGGAGCCTGCTTCCTCCTCCCTCTCTCTCTCTGTCTGCCTGCCTCTCTGCCTGCTTGTGATCTCTGTCAAGTAAATAAAATCTAAAAAAAAAAAAAAAAAGTTCTTTGTAAAAGCAAGATGTCAAAAAATAAAACGAAAAATTTCTAAAAAGCAAAATATCAACACACTAATGGGGCCTCTTTCTCAAAGTTTAACATCTTTTTTCTTTTTTTTTTTTTTAAGATTCTACATACTTATTTGAGAGACAGAGAGAGTAAAAGTAAGGGGAGAGGCAGAAGGAGAAGCAGATTCCACACTGAACAGGGAGCCCAATGCAGAATTCGATTCCAGGACCCTGGGTTTATGGCCTGAGCCGAAGGCAGACGGTTCACCGACGGAGCCATCCAGATGTCCCAAAGTTCAACGTCTTAAGTTCATGAATTGTTTGACGCTTTGTACAAAGCCACCATCATGCACTGAATCTTAAATCCACATACTAGATTCACTGCAGAGGAACACGGCTCCCCAAACTTATCCTCATGTGAATTTGTGAAATATTTTACATCTGGTGGGTATGAATGACTTCCAAACTATTATAGTTTATAAAAAAAAAAAAAAAAAAAGACGTACCATATACCATGTGCTACCAATAGGGGGCAGCCTCGACATTATAAACCCATTATTCTGCGTTAATAAGGTCTTCCTTCATAAGGTCATGGAAAACCACTTCATTTTTACGTGCTTTATTCTTAGAAAGGGTAATAGATGACATCCTATAGGGCAAAACCAGATTGAATTTAACTGCCTCACAAAGCATCCCTAGGATGGCCGCTTTCTTAAAAACCATCAGAGACATGAGTCACTTTGTGTAAAACTGCTCACCCACACAATCAAGTTTCTCATCAATGCAGATGTTTCCATAATACGAGAAATGCAATTATCACCTTAGCCAAGCCCACGTCATCAAAAAAAATTTTTTTTTCAGTTTTTATTTTTAAGTAATCTCCATACCCAGTGTGGGGCTCGAACTCATGTTCCAGAGACCAAGCCCTAAGCTGAGATCAAGAATTGGGATGCCTGGGGTGCCTGGGTGGCCTAGTGGGTTAAGAGTCTGGCTTCAGCTCAGGTCATGATCTCAGGATCCTGGGATGGAGACCCCATTGGGCTCCCAGCTCAGTTGTGAAGCTGCTTCTCCCTCTCCCTCTGCCCCAGCTTGTGTTCCCTCTCTTGCTGTGTCTGTCAAATAAATAAAAAAAAAATAATAATTATCATATGGTTTCACTTATTTGTGGAGCACAACAAATAGCATGGAGGACAAGGGGAGATGGAGAGGAGAAGGGAGTTGAGGGAAATTGGAAGGGAAGGTGAACCATGAGAGACTATGGACTCTGAAAAACAATCTGAGGGTTTTGAAGGGGCGGGGGGTGGGAGGTTGGGGGAACCAGGTGGTGGGTATTGGAGAGGACACGGATTGCATGGAGCACTGCGTGTGGGGCAAAAACAATGAATACTGTTACGTTGAAAAGAAATAAAAAAATTTTTAAAAATTAAATTAAAAAAATAAAATAAAATCTTAAAAAAAAAAAAAAGAGTTGGTTGCTTAACCCATGAGTCACCCAGGAATCCCTAAAACTTTTGTTTTTACTAAGTATCTCTACACGCAGTGTGGGGCTTAAAATCACAACCCCAAGATCAAAAGTCGCACGCTCCGTGGACTGAGCCAGCCTGGTACCTGGAACAGGTATATTTTCTAGATGGTCCTGTCCAGCATGGGAGCCACCAGCCGTATGTACTTTTGGAGCACTTACAATGTACTAAGGAATTAAGATTTTAACCTGCTCTTAATTTAAAATTACATTTAAAACCAATACTCGATGCAGTTATGGAGAAAGTTTCCGGTATTTTCGGAGAGCCTGGGCATGTGAGTCTTGTTTTTCCAGCTGTAAATATTATGGACATTCAATAAAAATGAAGTATTTCTGATGAAATTACTGGACCCTAATAGGGATGCAACATACATATAAAATGCACAAGGGATTTCAAGCAGCAGAAATTCATGTAAATCCTCTCAATTTTCATAGTGATTATATGCAGAAATACTTGTATCGGACCTATGCTGAATGAGGTAGGCTAGGTTATTAAATGTCTCCTTTCTTTTCTCAAGATTTTATTTTGAGGTCAGCTGTATGCCCAACCTGGGACTCCAACTCATAACCCTGTGCTGAAGACTTGCTCGTTCTACCAACTGAGCCCCCCATGTGCCCTGAAATATTTACTTTTTAAAACATGGCTTCGTGAAGAGTTTAAATCATACATGAGGTGTGTGTTGTGATTGCACAGGATGGCACTGCTCTACGGGTTAATTTTAGGAGCATAAATTACTCAGTGTGTTCAGGGGAACAGAACACGTGTCTTGAGCCTTTTCCGTGGAATATTTTAGGACGTGTAGGTGTAATGGTATCAGCAAAAGACAGCCCTGTCTCCCTCTGTCTCTGTCTGGGTGTGTGACTCTCTTCCCCACCTAATTGTACCAAGCGACCTATGAGCCAACTGTGGAATATAGGAAAGAAGACTCACATTTTAGTGGAGGGGAAAAAAAAATAATAACAACAACAACACAGCAAAATAATCCAAAAAACAAAAGAAACAAAAACTTAGAAAACTAAAGTGATGACGTGGTAAGTCTACACAGCGTATAAGACAGTTTGGACACCCATCTTTATGCCCTTCTTCCTGTTACTCATGTCTTTGGACTAAAAAATGAAGAATTCCATTCAAACCTTTCGACCCAAGACAAGCCCCCAGGGCTTCATGGGAACTCCGGGCTTCAATGCATGGGATTTACAATCTTAAATTTTCTGTGTATTCTCTATACAAAGGCCACACTGTTCCTAATGTAGGGAGACGTTCCCTATAGACCATGACACTGGAAGACCCGTGGACATCAACACTTATCAGCTTTGCATCAGCCTCACTGAAGCTGAAGGTTACGTATTTTAAATCACACACATTCGCTGGAAACATTCTCCCAGAGCCCGAGGGCAGTCTGGACTACTGGGCAAAGGACATGAAGAAGACGTTTTACGCCCCAACGCCGTTAAGATTTCATTTTATAGGACTATTCGTGAGGAGATCCACCAGGGCAAACGATGATGAGCACATCTGTTCCCGTGAGCCCAGGGTTACAAATTGACATTAGAGAATCCAGCTGACATAGAAATCCCGTGGGCACGGGGTATGAACCCTGCCCTCACTGATAGAGAAAAACAGTAAACGGATAATCTACTTGGTCAGCAAGAAGACTTTTTCAGTGTTTCATTACTCTAAGAAATAAAAACCCAGATGGGACATTATCTTAAAGTGACATATGCTGAATGAGGTAGGCTGTCTTATTAAAAGTCTCCTTTCTCTTCTCAAGATTTTATTTTGAGGTCAGCTGTATGCCCAACGTGGGACTCGAACTTACAACCCCATGATGAAGACTTGCGCACTCTACCGACTGAGTCCCCCAAGATGAGCCCGCCAAGATGACCTCGTGCATAATTTCTTCTTGTCAAAGATGGTGAAAGGATCATGTCCACCTCAGACCCCTCCCAAAAGGCAATGAGGAACAACAGGAAGAAGTTTTTTTTTTGTTTGTTTGTTTGTTTTTTAAGATATTATTTAACAGAGAGAGAGAGCTCACAAGTAGTCAGAGAGGCACACAGAGAGAGAGGGGAAAGCAGGCTCCGCGCTGAGCAATGAGCCTGATGCGGGACTCGATCCCAGGACCCTGAGACCATGACCTGAGCAGAAGGCAGAGGCTTAACCCACTGAGACACCCAAGCTCCCCAGGAAGAAGTTTTTAAAAAGCATAAAGCATGGGGCACCTGGGTGGCTTAGTTGGTTAATCAACTGCCTTTGGCTCAAGTCCTCATCCAGCGGTTCTGGGATCAAGCCCCAATTTGGACTACCTACTCAGAGAAGAATCTGTTTCCCTCTCTCTCAACCCTTCCCTCCCTCTCCTGTTCTCTGTCTTGCTCTCTGCCTCTAATAAATAAATAAACTCTTAAAAAAAAATAATAAGACATCAGGATTCAGAAGGGGCAAGCAGACAGCAGGACAAAATTTTGGAAGCTGTCCCAGGAGCTGGACCCCAAAAAATGGAACAAGCCAACCTGAGTGCTGGAAGGGGTCTTCTGCTAAGAGTGGAAATGAGCTGGGCGGGGAGGGGAGAGAGCTCCTTGACGCACAGCAAAAGCAGGTATACGATTCTGATAAAAAGAGGAAGTCATCTGAGCGACAGCACCGCACGCCTGCCAACGGCGATGATCAAAAAGGCGAGACAAGACCGGTGACAGCGAGGACGTGGAGGAAAGGGGAACGCTCACGACGTTGGTGGGAATGCAAACTGGTACAGCCAAAATGCGGACCACGGCTCGGAAGGTCCTCAAGACGCTGAAAAGGAAAGGACCCTATGACCAGCAACGGCACAGCTGGGTACTGACATGAAGCAAATGAAAACAGCACCGTAAAGACATCCTGGCACCTCCGTGCTCACCGCAGTGTTACCGACAGCAGCCAGGCCCTGGTAGAAACCCACGTGTCCACTGACAGGTGAACGGAGAAAGGAAACGTGGTCTACATGGACCAAGGGCTATTATTCGTCCTTGAAAAAGGACATCCCGCCATTTACAACCATGTGTAAGGACCTCCAGGCCATTATGTCGAGGAAGGTAAGTTGGACACCCAACAGGAGCGCACATCCCCATGGAACCCCAAAAAACAAGGCGCTTGGTGGGAATGGAGGGAGAATGGTGGCTTACTTGTCGACCAGCTTCTTGGCGAAGCCGAAGTCCGTGAGCTTGATGTGCCCCTCGCGGTCCAGCAGGATGTTCTCGGGCTTCAGGTCCCTGTAGACGATCTCCCGGGAGTGCAGGTACTCGATGGCGCAGACGATCTCCGCGGAGTAGAAGAGCCCCGTGCTGCTGGAGAAGCGGCCCCGGTTGCGCAGGTAGCTGAAGAGTTCGCCGCCGGGCACGAACTCCATGAGCATGTAGAGGAAGCGGTCGTCGTGGCACGTCCAGAACCTGCGGGGGGACAGCGGCAGTGCAGGAGTGAGCCCAACGGGCATTAATGATGTCCTCCACGCGGACCGTGGCGTCCACGCAGACCTCCGGACACTAAAATACGCAAGCGAGCGAATGTTAAAATCTGCTAGAGATAGAGGTTAACAGACGGCAGCAAAGAAACCAAGAAGGCTCCTGTGGGACTCGGTTGGTGAAGGGTCTGCCTTGGGCTCTGGTCATGATCTCAGCGTCCTAGAATGGAGCCTGTTTCTCCCTCAGCCCCTCCTATCAGCTTGGGTTCATGCTCTCTCTCAAATAAAGAAAATCTTGAAAAAAAAATCTCAGCCCATAGGCTGAATGGTTCACCCAAAGATGATGCGTGGAAGCCCTAATCTGTAGGACTTCAGAATGGGAGCATACGAGGGGATAAGGTCTTTGAAGAGGGGACGGAGGTAAAATGAGGTCAGCAGGATGGGCTCTGATGGCACAGGACTGGGGTCCTTATAAGAAGAGGAGATGAGGACAGACATGCACAGACAGATGACCCTGTGAAGACACAAGGAGCACAGGGTCTACACACCAAGAAGGAAAGTCTCAGGAGGAACCGTCCCTCGGCCCCGCGTGGATCCCAGACTCCCAGCCTCCAGGACTACAGGAGATAAATGTGTGTTGTTCAAGCCCCTCAGTCTATGGGGTTTGTTTGGGCAGCCCAAGCAAATTCATCCACATCTTAGGGAATCACCCCTGGTTCAGCAACTCAGCCCTGAAATCGGGACTGGAAATACCCAGACCGCCACCCAAACACCGGCCTGGGTAAGGCAGTGATTAGTAAAGTCCCAGAGAGTCAGAAGAGGTGCTTTGTCTTTGCAAAGGCACTCAGAGCTCTGTTACTGTCAGGAGAAGCGGTGGTGGGGAATGGAGGGGGGCGTGACAGAAGACGCCAGGTCCTGTCTGCTTTCAAGACGTCTTGGCCAAAGAAAACAGTAAAAAACACATTGCAGGGAGATCAGCGGTGATGGAGGAACAATATTTTCTCATACAGGAGACACGGGGAGAAGAGAAACGAGGTCAGCAACCATGCTCTGCACTGTTGAGAGGACTAGGAAGTCCCCCAGTAAAAGCCGCCCCATGGGATGGGGGATGCACAGGACGCTAACCATGGCCATGCTAGCCTGTCTATATCGTAAGGCTCCCGTTGGCGTCTTCTGGGATCAGGACAGTAGGGCTTCCCTGCAGAGTTGACTCCCCATGAGCTGTGTCTATCTGGCCTTCACCAAAAATACAATTATGCCCAGAGAACCGGCCATCCCTGCGGGAGGATGGTCATGGCACCTGCTCTACCAGAGGGTCTCACCTGCCGGGATGGGCATTTCAATAAAATAAAGTAAAATGGGGGGAGAGGGGGACAGCTTGCCACGACATGACGATTAACTCAAAGGGAAACCATAAAGGGGTAAGCCTATCCAGTGATCAGGACACGTGTGAGTTAAGGCAAGTTAATAAAAACATGACGAGCGAGAGAAAAAAAATCCCCATCACAGAAATGAAAAACTGTGCTCGGCTCAAGGAAAGCAGTTAAAAAAAGAATGTTTGATTTGCTAATCACGGTGTTTCCATGTATCGGCAAAACATGGGTCAGATGTACAAAAGGCTTTCAGGAAATGCACGTGGAAACCATTTGGGGTTGCTGTTTGGGAAGACATGTACCCACCAACGGGCTTTCTGCACAAATACCATCATCTCTCCAAGCTACTAACCGGCCGGAGGTCCCTGTTTTCAGTTACTGAAGGCTTTGCATCTGTGTCCTGCTTCCCCTTCTTGCTTCTGGCAGCTCCAAACGCTCAAGATTTGCGGTCTGGAGGCACGAACAGATACAGGAAGCAGGAACGCTGCTTTGGGGGTTTTGGTTGCTACTGCCACTTCCTGGAGAAATCTTTTACAGTTACACAGACTCTGTGACCAGCCACAGGCTTCCTACCATTTCAAGCCCAGAGGGGTGTTTCCTTTCTGCCCCATGCTCAGCTTCTTAATTAGTATGGCAGGAACATTTCCTTCCCACGACGCTTCCATATAAATGCCCAGTATTTCAAATGCATATGGCATCCACACTCTGCTCTCCTGGGGGAGCTTGGAATCCAACATCGACTTCACCACTTTGGTGGGGAACTATGTTCTAGGGTCCAAATAACACGGGAGTGGTGATCTTATAGAATGAACCTTTCTGGAGGCTGGGGAACGTTCCAGATTACTCCTGAAAAAGGGGAGTGCCAAACTGAGTTAGAACTGATCAGAAAAGGCCTCGTGTTCCAGAATTTGGGGGCAGCACGGAGCCCTGGAAATGACCCCCAATGGTCAAAACGAAGTCATAGCACTACCATCTTCCGCAGTTTTGTCGAATTTCACTGGAAAGGTAGGAAAATATGCAGAATCCTGTCTACCACTCAAATACATTAGGTGCATGCATGTGCTCACACACGCACACACACGCACACTCACCAATTAGCGTGCACTCATTTTCTGGATATATTCTACAGCCACTCCTACTGATCCACAGCCCAAATAATAATCTACTCAGATGCTTTCTCAACGCTTGAGAACAATGCATCAGCCATGTTGGAATGCAACCTAATTTCACCCTTGGAAGGCATGGGAGATAAGTCACCATGGGGGAGATGACAACGGGGACGGGGAGTGGGGATTAATCAACCAAATGGAATGCATTGATCCCTGAGACAGGATGGGTGGAGACCAGGAGATTCGGGCAGAAGCAGTGGGGCTGACGATCTCAGAGTCCATCAACTGGGCTCCAGAGGAGTTCAATCTCATCCACCGGTAGGTTTATATATATATATATAAATTGGGACCTGGTGTCTATTGTTCTGCTCCCAATTCCAAGATGTGTTGTTCTTCTCCCCACACCACTGAGCAATTCTGTGACACCAGCTGGGTGTCCTACAATTCAACTCCATTCTGGCGCCGTCTACACCTGGAGACAGCAGGAGATCTCACAGGGGAAGGGTGCACCCTTCAACACTCCCCCAGCACACATAATTCCGATGCCAATCACAGTCCAAGTCCTGTGTGTCTGGTAGAGCTGCTATAGGTTAGAGGTTCCAAACTCTCCTCCTTGGGCCCCAATAATCTGGCAGAGGGGCTCCTAGAGCTCAGGAAAACAGATTACTCACTGGGTCATGGGTTTACTATACAGAGATAAAACTTAGGAAAAGCCAGATGGTGGAGACGCAGAGCACCAGGTGTGGGGAAGGTTGAGAACCAGCCCATCTGTGTCTTCTCCAAGTGATCCACTCCCCCCAAATCTTCCCAAGCTCCCCATCCTGGAAGCTCCCAAACACTGTTCTTCTGTGGTTTCAGGGAAGCTTTAGGATGATTAAATGACCGACCATTGGGGATTAACTCAGCCTCTAGCCCGTCTGCCCCTATGCAAACGGACCAAGAATTCCAACCCTCCAATTATAGGATTGGTTCCCAGGCAACCAGCCTCTGCCCTAGGGTGTTTTCCAAAGTCATCTCCTTCACATAACAAAAGCGACCTTTGTCACTGTTATCATGGAGGAAATTCCAAGGGTTTTAAGAGCTCAGTGGCAGGGACAAAGACCAAACGTCTATAATCAGAATATCACAGTGACAAAAATCATAGACAAATGATTGAGTGGGGAGAACGAGCCCTATAGACATTTGTAGCCCATTTGTTGCACAAATCTCTCAATAAAATCCAACAAAGTGCCAACAACAACCCCAAAAAGGGCACTCTATCTGAAGAGGACAGCCAATCCTACGTACACACATCACAGTCCAGTGCCATCTGTCACCAGAATCCTTGAGAGTAAGTACAGCTTTCAAATAAAGGTACTCTGTGGAGACTCAAAAACTGAGACTATGGAAAAAAAAAATTTGTGGGGGCCCAGGCTCCCCTCCCTGTCTTTCCTCAAGTCCAATAAACATCCTAAGGGGGGAAAAAAATTCCACAGGCATCATTTCCTCAAATTTGCATGAATTAGACTTCTCTTATATGGAGAGAATGGGTAACATTGGGCATTATGAGTAAGAACCAAAATATTTTAGGAGATGCTGACGTTACTATTCCAAAAACATTGACAAGCATTAGGTCATCACTTGGGGCTTGTGGGAAGGGAGGAGGAGTCTGGGTGGCCCTACATGAATTCAAATCTGGTTTTAGAAATTGAGAAACAGTAATAAGGGCATCAGCCAAAGCATTGGTTAATTCATTCCCATTCTTTGTAGGACTTGGCCCCTTGTATGGAGTCTATAAACAACAAAACTCAAGGGCAAAAAGACATAAGCGGGTTTGTCACCAGTGGTAAGAGAGAAAGAGGCATTTGTGGATCTAAAGTTCAGTATGTATTAGGAGTCTTGCTTGAGCACTGTGGAACAACAACTCCTGAAACACAACTCTATCCACTTCCACATTCAACTTGCTCTTTTCTTCATTTACTAGGTAATTTCTTTTTTTAAAAAAGATTTTATAGATCCAAAAGAGAGAGAGAGAGGTATCACAAGTGGTAGGCAGCAGGTAGAGGGAGAAGCAGATACCCCACTGAGCAGGGAACCCAACATGGGATTCAAACCCAGGACCCTGGGATCATGACCTAAGCCGAAGGCAGACGCTTCATGGACTGAGCCACCCAGGCACCCTTACTGGGTAAATTCTGACCAAGGACTCACTGTGCACCAGGCAACAATCTGGATACAAAGCAATGGAAAGGGCAGGTCTAGTGTTGACGGTTTTGAGCCTTGCAGGCCAGTAACTGGGGAGCTGAGTGTAAATAGGAAACACAGGATGGCAGGAGGGAGTCAAGAGCGGGTGGAAGGGGGGACCCGCAGACAGGATGAATCTCTGGCAAAGGAGGCTATCCAATGGACATCCAAAAAGCCTGGAAACTGAGGCACAAGGCCAACGCTGGGACAACTCTGTGGCAAAGAGCTTGAATTCTATCATATGCACACAGGGAACCTCCCTCTCCCATGGGATTTGATTGCAC